GGGGCTGCAAACTCTCAAGTTGCTGCCAAATACCATCTTGACCCTTCAGAGTGGAAAAGTTGTATCCTGCCTTGAAATCCATAGGCGATGCAACTCTAACTCCATTCTTTGAAAGGAACCAAGATAATCCACTGTTTCCATGAAGTAACTCAACAACGTCAGGATGATCATCATTACAGAAGAAAAAGGACTGTTCTCCAAATTCGGCATCAACATACAGTTCGTGATCTTCACGTAAGTTCTCCGGATTCTCATCGTCTAGTGCCGGTATGGAAACATCATGCCACTCATCGTGATCTCGTCTAACCTTCGACTGATTCACACGTACCACTGCCTTACCAGTGTTGGCTTGGACCATAGCTCCTTCTTGTCCAAGTACTGTGGCACGAACCCAACGTCCTTTATCCTTGAACTTTGATGAATCCTGAGTCCAAATAAAAACCTTCTCACCTTGAAAATATGGACCGTCACTTGGCATAGTCCTTCTTGCAAGATCTGCTCGAAGGTCCTGAGCTTGTCGTGCTTCTTGATGAGCTCTCAAAGCTACACGTTGTAGTTCCAGATTTGTACGATCTTGTGCGGCTGCACTAGCTGACAATTGCTCAGGGCTTGCGGTCTCAAGGTCAAAAAGATCTGGTGGACGTCTTCCAGTTGCTATCTCTATTGGTGAGTATCCACTGATAGTCAACTGACAATTTCTTGCCCAAACTACTTTCTTGACCACTTCTCTGACCGTAACACCGCGAAAACGTGGGTCATCCAGATCTACCTTCATAACATGCCACATACGTTTGAACAAACGTACAGCTGTCTCTGCTCGGTTCGGCCAAGGAGTTCTTGGCCCACAAGGACATTGTTGTATACCATGAAACCTGTAGTATTCAACAAAAGCATCTGTGAAAAAGGCTTCGTCTCCTACGATGGCCTTCGGAACACAATTGTTCTCATCAGACCATTGTCTCAATGCTTGGATGGTGGTTTGATCTATGAGGTCTTTCTGTGCCGTAGCCCAGAGAAGATTTGTGGCACCATCAAGAACAAGTAGAATGATATACTTGTTCTTGTGAAGTTCAACCTCACAATGATCAGCAAAAACAACATCACCAAAACATGAAGCTCTAATACCGGAGACTCTGGCTCGTGGCGGAGGTGCCACTGAAGTGTTACAAACACGGCAGTTCCTGACAACTGATTCATACTTCTCTAAAACAGAGTCAGGAAGCTTCAACATAGAAACACGTCTACGAAACTGAGTAGGACTCATATGGTAGTGCTTCACATGAAGCTTATAAAGCTCTACCTTGTCCTCCAGTCTCTGCAACATCTTCCTATATGCCGGTGTCATTGCAACAACTTCACTACCAGGTAATGGGATTGAAATCCGCCTAGGCTCAAGAGCGCCATCACCTGGTTCAAGTGGTTCATGTTTATCACTTGATTGTCCTTTTGATGCTTTAGGAATTTCTACAAGTTCACCTTCTGGCCTCTCAGGTGGTTCTGAGGGAGTATACCCTTCAGGATCATCACCCTTTAAATCAATTGGAGGCTCAGATGGTTTCGACTTGTGTCCTTTCCAAAATGGATCAAAACCCTTGGATGTATACCGAAACTTTGGCGGCACAGGCTTTTCCGCGGCACTGGATGGTGCACCTTCCTTCTCTGATGAGAAGCCTGGTTCCCTGTCCTTTGCAATGGGAACCTTCTCTGAGGAGGAGCGCACCACTGCATCGGGATCACCAATGCCACGGTGCTCAATGCCAGCCTTCCTGATCTTTAGATCTGGAATTTTGGCATCTGGCTTGAACTTAAAAATTGTTCTACCACGCCATTCATAGCCAATTTGTAGGTCCTTCCATTTTGCCTTGCGCCAATCATCTGTCTTCTTGATCTCTTCTCCTCCATCTTTCTTCTTGATGATTGTCAGTCGCAAGTCTTCCAGCAAGTCAGTGTCTACAGGACATGACTTAGTTGCTGGGAAAAGAATCTTCCTGTAATCCTTGTGGTGACGTGTCAGTTCTCTCTTGTGAAGATCTACTTCCCAGTAGTCAACCACAGGATATGCATGCTCAGCTTCATCTTCATCACTATTGTGATCAACCGAAATATGACCATATTCATAGTGAGTGAAGTGAGAGTAAAAGCTCTTCTCTCGCCGAGCCTGCAAACGCACGTCAGACAGATACCTTGCAATATCTTGGAAGTCCAAAACAAGATGAGTACTGGCTGCAACCTTCAACTCCAAAAATTTGATACCAAGAGGCACCGATGTCAGGTAAGCATGTTGAGGTGTCAGCCTGAGTTCAAAGCCTAAGTTCCTCATCTGTGGCAAGCTCATAAGCAAAGGGACTTCTCCTTCTTCAACTATGTCAAACTCTGTATGGTGGATCGTCCATGCACGATCATACATGTAAATCACCAGTTTCTGAGAGCAAGAAGCCTTCTGAGAATTGGCAAAGTAAAACTTGCTCTTGGTAGACTCAAAAGAGTACCATAGTCCACAGTCTGGATGATTGTCGACATAGTTACAAAATTAATCGACTGCACGCCTTGATCCCATAGCTCTAGTGCATCCAATGTCCAGGATTGCAATAGTTGGCGGGAAGCGATTTTCAGTCAAAAATGAAATGCCTGCATCTCTTTCACTTCTTCCTCAGCGCTCATAAGCGCAAAGCCATCAGGAGCATCTGTGAGCATCTCCTCTGACAAAGAGTACCTCACAGGGGCACTCATGCCATCGAAGATCGTCTCACCATTGTTGACATTACAGTCAGCTTCATCTTGACATGAGGTCATCATGCCTGACAGCAAGTCCACCTCACTGTCATGGACTTCAGCTACCGTTGTCACACAATGCGCAAAGAAACCTTGGTTGCTTCCTGATGCTTGTGAAGTTCTTGAAGGTGCAGGTAAAGAACGTGGCTGTTGTTGATTTGCATAGTTTGCATCTTGTTTGCCATCTCCTTTATCTTTTCCTTTTCCTTTCTTGCCTTTTCTCTTGCCTTTTCCCTTTCCTTTGTGGGAAAACCATGGTTCTTCAAGTTGTTGCCAAAAGTCATTGGCATCTTCATGTTCTCCTTGAAGATAGTCATTCATATCTTCGGCAAGAATAGCATCATATGCTACTTGATTTGACTCCCAAGTGTCCTCATAAGGATTCTCTTCATAATACTCTTCTGGATAAGTTGTCGATTGCTCATCAGCATAATGGCCTTTACCTCGTCTCGTTCCTTTTCCTTTTCCTCGAGGTCTGAAAAATCTGCGGCCTGATCTTCCTTTTCCTTTTCCTTTTCTTCTTCCTTTTCCTTTGCCTTTTCTGGCTCTTCTTCCTTGGAATCTCCTCTGGAACCAAGAGAAATTCTGTTCATCATATACCCAAAAGACATCGTCCAGGGCATCTAGGAATCCTTCTGTTCCATCTTCTTCATCTTCGGCCCAATAGCCAAATGTACCATCGAGTTCTCCTTCGTCTAGTACGAGAAATGATCTTCTACCTCCAGCACCTGTTGGCTGCATAAGAGGATTGTCTACTGAAGTCTTTGTTGTGCAGAACATCTCAATGAAAACTGTCCTCAACTCTATTGTAGTGTATTGCTGCAGGACTCTACCACGATGAGTCATCAAAGAGGTCAAAGTGTTCCTCTGGTCCTGAGACAAATCCGCAAGTGACAGCATGAGTAGGGCAATGAGATTCTCTCCTAAAGGAAAATCGTTCTGATGAAGAATTCTCATATTGCCATTGACATTCTGCATGATTTCCTGAATTCTTTCTGCTGTTGGAGCTACTCCAGTCACCGCTGCATCAGCTTGCATTTGAGCTTGTACCTGTGGGTGTACTTGTGTTACTGGATCCAACATGTCCATCCAACTGCTCATAAGCCTTTGGAGTAAAATCTGAAATCTTGTCATCCATTTCATCATGTCAGCTGATCCTCGATTGAATCGCACGAATTGCATAAGCCTGTATAGGAATACATTGGTTGATCCTTTCACAAAATATGGTCGTAGTACTCTCTTGAAGTAATCTACTCCAGCTCCTGGTGGATCATTCGCCTTCAATGCATCTCTGTCTAATACTCGCTTGTATACAGCTGCTTCTCCTTCAAGTCGGTTTCTCAATGCTGGTCCTCTCTTCTCATCCTCCAGCTCGGTGATATCACACCAATCGTCTATGGCATCCTCATAGGAAAACCATGAAGTCTTTCCATCATAAGATGGGGGCACCTTTGTAGTGACCTGTGTTGTCATTGCTATAGCTGCTGGTTCTCTTCTCACATGCCTATTCACGTAGGCTGCTGGCTCATAAGCCACATCCGCATCAGGCTCTTCCCAGTCGTCAATCCAATCCATGGCCGTTTGCCCACAAGCAATTCTATGCCTAGGAAAGGAGCTCACCTGGGTCTTCCAGGATCACTGCTCCGCTACCACTGAAAGAGTGACTAGGGCGTACACGGTAGAGGTGCAGACCGCTAGTGTCTTTTGCTCACGCAGAGTCTTATCCTATATCCCTTGAGCCTTATGGCAGTCAAGCATGGACACACTAGATAGGCCACTGGAGTGGAACCTGTACAAGTAGGCTCTACCTTTCAGGGGGGGGCCCCCCCCCCCGACGAACAGAATCAACTCTTACAGGACCAAACTCAATGCACAATCCCAACTCCTGATTGTAATACATTTTTGTTAAAGCAAGGAGAACTCAGGTAGCTCAAGAAACGTAACGTGATGAGCCCCATTGACAGCAAATAAATGAAGCAAAAGCATGACAGTGACTTTTCGCCACGGCATCTTGGGAAGTTCTCCGCAAACAATTGGAGTTTTCCTGAGGCTCTTGTACATACGACAAGTGGTGGTAATTACACTCCGACTCACTAACATGGAGAGGGAAATCACCCCATTTGCAATTAGAGGAAAAGAGCCTTCCCAAAGGTAATTGTCCACTTCCATGTTAATAAGTCGGACGGTATTCATCAGGACCATCCATGACAGCATCAGAGCTCCCCAGCAGGCATGGCGATGTCGCTCATCTCTTGATTGTCCTGTGACGATCGCTCCCCGGCGTCGGTGTCATTCACGGTCAACGTTCCAAAAAACAAAAAATGCCACTTCTTGAGATTCTCAATGTGAGTTGTTCAATCAGCGGCTGACTATGGTAACTTTGACCCTGTACCGGTTTTTGCCCAAAACCGAATATATTTTCCTGGTCAAGTTATCTCTCTGGGCTTCTTGGGAATGAGGTAGAGGAAGTAGAATGACGCTACCCAGCGCTATGGAGAACGCGCGACTCCAACTCCAAACCCCAAAAGCCCATACAATCACCACGCAAATCGCTGCGCCCATTGCAGGTTGGCGGGTGGCGAGAGGTCTTCCCTCGACTACTGCACTGGCTTCTTCGTTGGACGGTGCGGCGAATTGGGGCCTTTTTTTGGAGGGGAAGTTCGTCGTCGCTCGCGTCGCCCAGAATTCACTTCCCACAGAAGACGTGACAAGCTGAAATCAAGGCTGGAGCGAGGTTTGAACCCCAAGCCCCCGCTAGAGGAAGCTGGTCGTCTTGGGTCGTCTGGTCCTTGCAAGGACTGTCCCGCGTTGACTCTTAGACTCTTTGTTCGGATGATGTATGTAGACTCTTAGAGTTTATCAAACCCCACAGTACCCCACACATGAATTACGGCCAGCGGGGGGGCTGCGGGATTGCTGCCACTGCCATGGTGGGGTGACTCGGAGACTCGTCTACTGAGTCGCATGGCAAACCGTGTGGCACTCTATTCATGAGGACAACGTTTAGATCGACTGTCTTGTGCCTTTCTTCGTGGTCTCTTGCTCGGTCGGTATTCGCACACGTGGCATTTCGTCATGTTGATTTCTGGCTGAGCTCAGCTGTACTTCATACAGGGCAGCTTTTGGCTTCTGAGTTGGATTTCATACCCGAGCCCGCGTTCCATGCACCCCTCTCACTGGCTTTAACTTTGATGGAGCTGGTGATGCCTAAAGCTTCCAAGTTGTGCTTGAGGACGGCTTGCTGAACGGGCTAGCATGATTTTGTCTTAAATGAGTCTCCGGATTTGTTGCTGGACCCTTTTTTGATTTTGGACGATCCCAGAAATACCTAGCCTCTCTTGCTACGACCGGTGGGACTTGTAACGTGGAACCACCACACCTGGAACCTGAGCGGAACCGAAAAGCAATTAACTAATCTTCCAGGTTCCATGTGAATTCATCTTCCAGGGCGTATCCCCCTGTGGATCCGGGCCCACTTCAGAACCTCTGTTGGGAAACCTGTGGGAAGCCTTTGGGAAAGCCTTGAGAGTGGCCAGTTGCGAGTGCTTTCGCACTGCCCCCCTCCTGTGCCATTGCAGCGCCCTTCTTTGGCCTGGCCCGAGGAGATGGATGCTCTTGGACGTGAGCCAGGCAGAGATTCGATGATATTTCAACGATGTTTTTTCGGGTCTGGCGCATCATATGCTTCGAATCTCCAACTGCTTTTCCATCAGGGCTATATAGGTCTCTCACATTCCGAGCAACAGTGGATCAACAAATTATCTGTTGACAAGACAGCGCATCTAAGTGATCTCTGCGGCTCCAGAATCGGACTAATGGATTTGGATATGTGTAGGACACCTAATCTGCCATCATGCACTTAGAACTGACATTTTCCATCAGTTTCCATATAGTTTCCCGCACCTGCGTATGGCACCGGCACTGTTAGGGTTCCCGTCAGTCCCTGGCTTTGAGCCAGGTACTGCGGTTGCGCGGAGGGGTCGCGATGCGAAAGACACGGCTGACGGTGCGCGGTGCACAGCAGCCCGGTCGACGCCCGGTCCACTGTGCTTTACGGAGAAAAGTCTCTACAGCAAGACCGCTACACCCATCTCGGAAGTCTACTGTAGCAAAGAGTGTAAGAATTAGAGAGACCCGCGAAACCAATGCACCTTCCGAACTTCGTTGCCACTCTGTTTCTTCTTCCGAAGAATGTTGGTGAGGCCCTACTTCGAGCTACAAACACACCATGCCCAGTTATGGTGCCCAGCCACCCTGCTCCGAATTTGACCAGGGTACTTACTCTCTAGCTCGCAGTGCGCAGTGTCTCAGTGTCATGAAGTCATGACCTCACATCCTGATCCAACTGCCCAACTGTGCCCAACCCCTCAAAGTGATTGCGCGAGCTCCAAACATGGCACCTGAAATTTTCTCTCTGTTCCACATCTGCCATGCGAAAATCTCGGTTTCACCGACCTCTCGCACTGACATCACGGGTTTTGGCCGACGCGATTGTTGGTCCAGTCCGCAGCCCTGCGAACTGGAGGGTCCGTACGGAGTCTGAGGCTTCAACGGCTTCCATTCGAGTCCTTTCACAACAAATATCAAGACAACCCCCGCACGCTCCGAATGGACGAACGTTTTGGTCTTGGAGCCAGTGGTCAGTATTTCCCATACACCGCGAACCTCGGGGAGTGGCTCTGCGGCGAGGGCGGGTGTTCGGTGATCGAAAGTGGAGAAGTCTGGAGGCGTCTTGGCGAAGCACAGAACGACGACGTCGAAGAATTCTGCTCTTTACGTCTACGAATTTAAGTTATAGTTACATATACGTCTCCGAAGTGCAGTTCGACGATTTTCGGGCGCCACCGAAGGAAAGAACCCTCCGAACTTGGGGTCACCTAAAGACCACGTTTAAGATAGTCTTGGACTTTCAGGCAGGGTATATATGATTTACAAGTTACAAGCTGCTTTACATCTGGCTGCAATACATCTAATTCGTGAGACACCCTTAAACATCATTAGTCCTCGTTAGTCCTCGCTCTACCGGCAATGGCCGTCCCCCTCCCTACATACTGTCCTGTGTCCTCCACTGACCCCCCTCAGTTTCCCTGCAAAATCAAGGTTAACCTGTTTCCACTGGATGTTATTTTGGGAAACCAATCCCCATGAAAATCGTGAAAGGTCATGAACAAAATATTAAAAAAAGAAACAACTAAAGTCAAAGTTTATCCACTGCCTGGGTAGATGCAGTCTACTGCTCCCGCATCTCTGCAGTCTACTGCTCCCATGTACTTCCTGGGTCAATGAGGTCCACACACATCACCTGAGATCCCAAACGGCTTGGGTTTCGGCTTTGGCCTGGGCCCCGCGAACCGGCCTCGGCAGAAACTGCTTTTCGCGACCGACTGAGGGGCGACGAAGGATCGGGGATCGGTGGGTGATGATAGAATTGTTCGTTTGGAAGGTTCATGGACTTGTCGTCTCATGGAATGGTTCATTCATGGGCTTCAAACTCCCACCAGGTGTCCTCTATTTGGAACGGAGTCCATGTCACCAGTGGTGCGGGGGTCATCCTTGGAGCTTTGATGCCAAATGGGTCGACTTCCTCAGATTTTGCTGTTCATTCTGGACCAACCAGAGATCTTGCTCCCGATCTTTAAACATTGAATCACCGCGATTATGTTTATCATACCAATAATTGTATCATTGTTTTTGAAAAGAAGCATGTGAAAGCATGTTCGTAAACATTTACAATAGATGTGTTTTGTAATATTCTCCTTCAAAAAGAAATAGTTTGAATCACAAATGTTTAACATTGATCAAGGTTCTGCACAATATCCTTTGTGAGCACCAGTGTCAATAATCTCAGTAGCAAAACATGTTTATATAACCTATTTTAACCTACTATACTATCATCTAAAGCATTTATATACCATCTTCAAGGAAATGTCCAGTGCTCCAATCCAATGCGGGCAGAACATTCTTGATTTGCTCTGCGTTGCCTTTCCTCAGCGCTCCTGGAAAATCCAGGCCACTCTGGGTACTATTGGGTACTTGCTAGTGGGAACGTCGTTTTGTCTGTCCATCGAACCAGATGCTTGCTCTGTCCACACTCTGTTCACAAATGACGGTTGCCAATCATCTCTTGGCCAACCCTCCCAATTCTTCCACCGCTTTTGCTGGAAAAGATCCATGGCCTGGGTGGACTGGGAAAGATCCATGGTCACAGCTTCATTGGAACCAACGTCCTTCATTCGATTGGCTTACTCCTTGAAGCTCTTGAAGCCCACGCTGTTGTCTTCAGGTGATGGCAGCAGGGTGGGCATTAGGATCACAGTAGCTCTGAGTCATGGGGGTGGCGGAGGAATCAACTCAGATGGCACCATCAGGATGGGTTCCGCTGACTCCACGACTCCACGGGAAAGTTCCCACCACTTGATGCCATCAATCCCCACAGTTCATCCAAGTCAGCTGGTCCTTTAAGACCAGGTGGCCCTTGAAAACCAACCAATTCTCGAATAGCAAGAAACTCTTCCAGATGGTGAAATCCTTCCGGAGGTGCAAGCTCATCGGTTGTCACCTCGCTTGCAACGTCACCACCATCCATGGTGGGGAAGGATCAATCACAGACCACAGACTCAAGGGGCGTGGTTTGGAGATTGAAGCCTTCCATTGACGAAGACCATCTCTCCTCTTCCTTTGGCTCATCAAGAATGTCTTCGTTGCTCCGCAACGACATCCAAGAACTCAATGGGCGCTTGGTTGGAACCCATCAGTCGTTGTGGGGTAGCATGAATCATGACCTGTTCGCTGTGAATGACTGCTCTAGAATGGGTCAGCTGCTCATATACATCTTCAGACCTCTAGCCTCCCCTCCACCTCCGTTTCGAGCCCCATCGCTCCACCTCTTCCCCGCCGCGCCACAATACTCCGAGGGGAAGTCCACGTTGGGCAACAACAGCGAGACCAGCTCCACCGCGAAGCTCTGGCAGTTATGGCTCAGGAGCTTGTAGTCCTCACCGGCCGCGGCTCCCATCGCTTCGCCGCCTCCCATCGCCTCACCTGGCGCCGCCCCCATCGCCTCGCCTGGCCCGGCCATTTCGGCTTCAGCTTCTTGATGGCCTGGCGGACAACACTGAGAAGCAGCCCAAAAAGTGGGTTCAAGTCCACCAAGTGTCAGATGTATCATCTAGATGCCGTGTGCTTTTCGGGAATCTTCGTGTCGGGAAATCGAGTTTCATCTCCCAGGCCGCACTGTAGCAGGACCCAAAAAGCACATGCATGCATCAAAGGTGATTGGCAGGATACTTGTCTCATCGACTCAGGTCCCAACCGCTATGCCGGCTATGCCCCTTTAAGACAGTGACAAAACCACACCCTTTTTTGGCAAAACCACACTCCATGTCAAAAATGAAGGCAACATCTGTCGGTTGAACCTCCCGGCACCCGGCACCCCTTCGGTCCGGTGGCCACCGAACCTTCGGAGAGACATCGGTGCAGGGCTCGTCCCCGTGGGCCCCGGGTTCACCGCCCGCATCGAAGCGCCCATCTCAACTGGAGTGCCTATGTCCGCCAGAGTCATCTGAGGTGGTAGAAACAGGAACAGGGTTGTACTTGTGAGTTGTGGATACTTCCATCTTCTATTCACTTCACATGAGAAATCAAGAGAATACTAGTACCCTGGGAATCCAAGAACCGTTGTTTGTATGGTCTTTACCAAGGAACCATTGTTTTACTATGGATTTTAAACTACAAAAGTGGGTGAACCTTTCAGCACTCAACCCACCCCAGCCGAGCTTGCAAATCGCTCGGACATCGCCTGGTCCACCCGGCTGCTGCTCAGTCGGGTCTTCCCCAGCGCCACGGAGATCTTGTGGACCCCCTGTCCGTAGCCTGCGGTCAGCTCGAGCTGATCACGTCTCAGAGGGTCGTCTCTGGAACGTGGTGAGACTGCAAGCGAGGGAGACCCCAAAAACAGGAGTGGTGGGGGGTGATTCGAGCCCTACAAGTCCCTGGTTCCTTCGTCGTCCTGAGTCCTCAGTGAACCATGTTTCTCTATGACCTGAGATCTCACCTCTCTAGGTTTCCAGCGATTGGAAAGGATCGGGGGAACCATGAGGTCAGCCCCGATGAGGTTTTAGATGTTGTTTCAATCTTTCAGGTTTTACAATCAAGATTCTACATGAGGGCTATGGATGCTTATCGTTAGAGCAGAGCAGCAGAAGCTCCACCTCTGCGGAAGGCGAGTCAGTGTACAAACTCCTTCAATGCTACATCCAATGTTCTGTCCACCAAACTTCCGCTCGAAACCATAGGCTCCCTTGTCTACTGTGGCCCGGCCAAAAACGAGGCAAGAACGACTGCCAAATTGCCAAACCTCTCAAAAACCACCTGAGGAAGTGGCACATAAATCGGCAGATACCAGAACCTTACCAGACCGAAATTGAGATCCCAGTGGCCGAGGCCGCCAGTTCAGTCCCCGGGGAGCGAACCAGGAGTCGAAGCAGCGTCTGGTCCCCGCCTTTCGGGCGGCAGGCCTGGACACCATCTAAGCAAAAGAAGTGCTCCACGCCATAGACCTCCGAAAGTTGGAGGAGAAAACACTGAAGCTTTGGGGCTTGAAAATGGATGAAAAAATCATTCATGAGGATGAAAAGCATGCCGAAGACCTCTGAACGCCCGTGACTTTAAAGTGATTCGGAGCCATGGTTTACATATGGATTCACCCTGGCCCAAGGGGTTTCGGTCTATTTCATTCTTCCAGGGGGTCGTTGCCTCACTGGGAGGTCTCCTATGTTCATACACATCCAAATGTCCTTCCATCTTGATGTTCCATCTTGATCATGTCGCTTCACCGCTCCTTCAGCCGCTTCTTCCAAGGCCCTTGGTACGGTGCTCAAAGCACCCCGTGTGGACCCGGTCGCCTCGCCTAGAGGGTCTCTACTCGGACCTGGTGGGTGAAACATGGGGTAGACGACTGGGTC